CGGGTAGAGTAAGTTTGAGCGCAAATCTATTAGTTGCATGGTTAGGTAGGACCCATGTTTCGGATTGGTTGGACGTTGGCATATTGTTGCTGAAGATTTGGACGATAGCAGTGTGGACCTGCGTTGACAGAAATTTGAGACTTGCGCGGACCCGGTACATCTCGCAAACATAGAGCATACAGCATACAGGGACTCGTATACAGGCATTTGGAAATTACAATGGTTACCCAAAGAAGCAAACGTTGGATGGAAACCAGTACGAAAGATGTGGATCTGAGAGACTGAGAGGTTTGAGACGGCGCAAACTTCGGGATCTTTTTTCAATGGTTTGTGAATTTCCTGGATTTTTTTGCCTTGGGGTTCAAGCCTTTTTTGATAGAAGGGAAGGTTGCATTTGTGTAAGCGCTTGCGGTCGGCTGGCCGTTGTAATGCAGAACATCCTGGTCAGGTTACTTCTTGCCTTGCGCATGTGTCTTGGGCATGTGTTCAGGTCCGGATGGGTTGGCAGAAGAGTTGGCAGGCTCAATGGACTACCTTTTGGAACTAAGGAGAACCCCAACACAACCACGAGTGACCGCCTGAAGCTGCTGGTTCCTTTGGCGTGTAGCCTGTAGGCACTGACCTGAGCAGCTTAAATCCAATACAACCATCACCGGGGTGCAACGTCGCAGGATAAAGCTCGATTCTTTCATGTGTCTCGCATGGTGGACCATGGGTGGCCACATTAGCAAACGCAGCCGCAGCATACCATGTGGAATGACGTGCCAGTGTGCACGGAGATTCATCGAAATAGCGGAGCGGCGAACAGTATTTGGCGGGACCTGGCGAGCCGAAGTACGGCCCCACGCAGAACGATTTTGAAAAAGCCCCTCACGCAAATACAACTAATTTGAAGAGCTTCGTCACGGCTTCTGAAACCCTACTAACTGCAAAACACGTGCGACCGTGCAGGCACAGAGGGAGCCATCCTGTCGTCGTGCTTGTTCCAGGTGCTTGAGGCGCTTATGATTGGGGATCCAGGGGGGAACCTATTTTTTTTGGGGCCCTTTCCTCTTTTTTTGGGGGGCCTTTTTTTTTTTGGGCCCTACGTTCTGTTGTTTACACAGGGGAGGAAGACAGCAAGGAAACAGGGGAGGAGGAAGGAAACAAGGAAAGAAGAAGAGAGAGAAGGAAGGAAGGAAGCAAGGAAACAAGAAGGCAAGGACACAAGGAAGGAAGCAAGGAAGGAAACGAAGCAAGGAAAAAGGATCGAAGGAAGAAAAGAAAGAAACAAAGCAAGAAGGGAGGAAAGCAAGGGATTGAAGGAAGCAAGAAAGGAAAGAAAAAAGGAAGAAAGGAAGGTCGGTAGTATGTCAGTATATAAATTAAATATAGAGTATATATATATATATATATAGATATATATTTATGTATTATACATAGTATATCTAGTTTATATAGTATGTATTCTATATATATATATATATATTATATGTAGTATGAACAATACTTATACTATATATATATATATATACATAGAGTATACATATATAGTATATGCAGTATATATATATATATATATAGTATATACAGTATATACAATATATATGTAAAATATATAAAGTATATGTACAGTATATAAATGGAGTATTTATAGCATATATACAATATATATATATATATATATGTAGTATATATACATATATATATAGTATATAGATAGTATATATATATATATGTATGTATATATATATATATATAGAGTATATATACAGTTATACTAATGTATATATATATTATATATATACAGTATATATATATATATAGTATATATTCATACAGTATGTATATAAGTATATATATATGTAGTATATATATATATAGTATATATATATAGAGAGAAAAAAAGTAAAACATAGTAAATATATATATATATATATATATATATATATATACGTATATATATATATATGTACAGTATATATATATATATAGAGTACATATAGCGTATATTTATATAGTATAGTTATATATAGTTTATATATATATATATCGTATATATATATAGTATATATATATATATATATATTATATATATGGTCACGCGCTCCGCGGCCCCCCCCCCCTCCCCTCCCAAAGGTCAATGGTCCGGATATAGGGTGGGACCCCCCCTCCCCTGTGGTGTGGGGTGTGGGGTCCCTCTTCCCCCTGTGGGGTGGTTGTGGGGTTTTGGGGTTTAGGGTTTAGCTTAAGCTTTTGAGTGTTGGGTTTACGGTTACAATGTATAACGCTTCGAGTCGACAAGGGCTTAGGGAGGACTTGCGGTGTATGTTCTGCTTTAGGCTTAGAGCCTGCAGTTAGGTGGGGTTTAGGGTTGGGTGTAGGGTTGGAAGTACAACTTAAGGTTACTCAAAACAAGGGCACGCGCTACGTTGTAGGGTTTACGGCTTGCTTGCGAAGGGCTTGCGTGTGAGCCCTGGCCGCCAGCACCATCTCACCATCCAGTCCAGCCCCCCCCCCCCCACCCTAGCAGACCACACCATTGGGGGGGGGGGGGGCTGGGAACGCCAGACGCCTGACAATATTATATATATCTATATATATATATATATATATATATATATATATATTATATATTATATTATATATATATAATATAATTAATATATATAGTATATATATATATAATATATATATATATATATATATAGATAGTATAATATATATATATATAATATATATATAGTAGTATATATATGGTAATATAGTATATATTATATATATATATAGTATATATATATAGTATATAGTTATATAGTACATAAAGTACATATGTATAAAATGTGTATATAGTATATATAGTATATATAGTATATAGTATATATAGTTATATAGTATATATAGTATATAGTAATATAGTAATATATATATAGTATATCTAGTATATATAGTATATATAGTATATATAGTCTATATAGTATATATAGTATATATCATATAGTAGTATATATATAGTATATATATATATATCTACCATATCCATGTATATATAAATCTATATATATATATATATATTACATATATATATATATAATATATATATATAGTATATATATAATATATATATATATATATATATATATATATATATACTATATATTATATATATATATATATATATATATATATATAGAGGCAAGGAAAATAGTTTTTTCAGTAGGAAAACCGAAAAAAGAGGGTTTTCCCTAGAAGCCCAAGGAAAGCACCAACCAAACAAAAAAGAAAGGGCCCAAAAGAAAAAAATAAAAGGGCCCCAAAAAAGTCTCCACCCATCCAGGGCCCTGCACTTCACGCACATGGACCAGCTGTCCCGTTTGTCTCGGCGCCGATCATTGAAAGCTTTACAGACCTTTCGCCGCCCTTCAGCATCGGGATCGTCTGCAGTTGGCGGCGGTGTATGCTCAGGCGACTTCGAGGCTATCTTCCTCTGGTCAGTTCGATGTCGTCACATGGCACAGCCATGACACGGAATCCTGACCCATGCAACCATGCAACACAACATCCTCGCATCGGCATAATCAAGGCCGGAATCAAGCTCAAGAATTTGGCCTCCTTCCCGTCAGGACCGTCGGCCAAGAAGTTTCGGGGGAAGGTTCAAACAATAACGAGAGCTCCAAGCCAAGATATCTTTTACGACGTCATTCACAGCAGTCTGGACGCGTAGCTGAATGAACTTCGCGATGTGCTGGAGCTTGACCGTCGGACCGTCTCGCCTCGCTTGCAGCTGTTGCGTCACTTGTCGGATCTCGAGATCCTCGGAGGTTGGCCCAGCAGGGATAGTGCAGCTCAAGCTTTCCCGCGGTTGATTCCCACAGGCACTTGCCTCGACAATCTAGGCGCTTCGGGTCTGCAGGGGAGAACACAAACGCCCGTAAACCTGGCCACAACCAAATTTCGAATGAAAAACCATGTATCGCCCTGAACGAGGCGAGGTAAACAACTCTTCCACAGTTTTTGGGTTTGCACGCGCTGACTCCGACAAAATGTTGGACCAGTTTGAAGGCACGTCGGCCGAAGCAGAACAGGATCGGATACTTCGAAGAAAAGCTGAGAAGTGAAGCACACCTTCAAAGGTCCAAGTTTTCATAAGCCCATGACCCAGGTTGGCATCAGGTCAGACAGGAATCACTGTCCGAGTCAAGCGCCGGAGCAGGCTCACAATGCGGATCTCCCCCCCGCCCCCCGCCCCCCCTTCACCCAGGACAGTCTTATCACTCAAGGCACTCAGCAATTTCACGCCCATTGGCGTCCGGCTTGCGGGTGGCGCATCGCCTAAATCCCTGCGAGATCCACTCATGCATGACAGTTGGATCATGTGCAAGTTGGTTTTGAGACGGCCAGTCTGATTGCTCCGACGAAAAAACAGAAGAAGAGCCACCCTCGTCGGACAAGGTGAGCGCCACACTCTCCTGAGACATAAGCACCTGGCACCACAATAGGATGCCCAGCTTGAACTGTTGAGAAGGCCTCGGATCGAGGCCAACGGCCTTCTTTGAAGCAACCTATCAATACAGATCACCGTCCCCTTGGCGGCCCAACTGGAGTGTGGCGTGTCCCCTGCGCAAAGCTGCGACATGTGTTGCACATGCTGCCTGGCACTGGCATGCGATGCCGCATCCGCAACTCAATCCATCAGCCGATAGCTGATATCCGATAGCCTTAGCTAAAGAGCCACTTAAGACTGAACCCGAAGTGGTTATTATCCTTCTGACACACTCCCATAGCGATTTGGTTTACTTATAGCTGCTGTCGAGACATCTTGCACTGGCCAAAGGCAGTGGGTTCGCAACGCTGCCGTACTTCTGCCGCCTTGAGCGCTAGGGCCGCCAGGTCTGGTCCGTGACGTGAGCCATCCACGGCTGAAGCCGGAAACGCTACAGCTCAACCTTGTCCGACTTGACCTTTGAATCTGCCCATGGGGAGTTGGAGTTCCAGCGAAGGCAGAGTTTGTGCAGGAATTTTGCAGGAGTATTTGCAAGTGCTATGGACAGGTTCCTCGCCCATTCTGCAAGTCGAAGATCATTGGATCGCTCCTACTCCCGAGGAACGGGCGGCCGTCGTGGGCAAGCCAGCTACAGTGACTGAAGCAGTGCCGGTCCGAAGTGAGCTGCGGGAATTCCTTTCAGGTGTCGCGTGTCTCTGACTATGCAAACCCTAGCTGTGCTGAGCCTGAGCTAGTTATCCCCGCTCGATCGTTTGGCCGAGAAGCCCATCGCAGACTTTGTGACGAAGGCTTACTAAAGATTTTCGATGATTCCTAGGTCCCAGCTTTGCTGGAGGCCGATGAGGTCATGGAAGTCATGAAGCTGGCATCAAAGATCGGGTTGGGAATTTACGCGAGGAATTCAGTAACTCGCTTTATTTTTGCCACGAGCAAGGGGTCCTTGCTCAATGCGTGGCTGGACACCGGGACCTGACAGCCGCGTGCAAGATGCTGTTGTGATCGTTCCCCACGGCCGTTTTGACGTGGCCAGACCGTTGCGGGCTCCTGTGCACGCGATGTCTTGTGTTCATGCAAGACGTGCTTCTGAGTCTCCTTCTGGGTGACGGACAGGATAACTTCATGGCCTGGGGCGGGGGCGGGGGCCTGCTGAATGGTGGCATCGGCAGGTTCGCGAGTCGTTGAAACCACTGATCAGGGAGCACCTTCTTGTGAAATGTGGTAACGGCGCCTGCAATGCGCCTTGAGGTGTTGCATATAGCTTGTTGTTCCACGTTGCCCAATCCCAGGGAAAACGCACTTTTTATAGCAAAACGCATCAAACACACATCGCGTCATCGGGCACCTTCTTTTCCCGTTGCCCTGATAGATCTCGAACCTAAGGAATGCATACCGAAGCCATGCATCAACATCAAAACTAAAACTGCATTGGCGAAGCATAGGTAGTCGCATGGACTGCGCGTGCCGGAATCTAAGGAGTGTGCGTTAAGCCAGCCGCTTTGCGGGCGGTGCATATGCTCAAGGCCACCGCCCCAACCGGTTCACGAGATCGTGCGACAAAAACCCATCCAAAAGTGCGCAGCAGGAGTTCAAGGCGCAATTGCGGCTTGAACACCAAATTGAGCCGACGTACCACCTTGGGTATGATTTCACGGCATGCCGTGATTAGCTCAGCCGTTTGAGAGCTTCCTAGCGTGGCCAGATCAGGGAGAGGGTGAGCATCAGCATCAACTAGTTCGCAGGGACCCAGCATCCCGTCGAACACATTCAGCGGGCCTCCCAGGCAGCCTTATCCTGGATTGATGGCAAGCCAGATCGGGAACTCCGCACCAGCAGCAAAAGATCGTTTTCCACCCGGGCAGGGTCCTCAACCATGTCCGCATCGGGGAATAGGGGACGTCCGCCGGCCCCGCGCCGAAGAGACCAGCCTTCCTGGGAGAGGACTGAGAGGACTTGCCTCATGCACGCGTTTCATCGAGGATGGGGCTGGTTGGTTGATCGATGCCATTCTTGAGCAAGGCAGTGGGTTCCGAGATATTGCTTGCCAGATTCAGATCAGAATGCAAGCATCCAGAAGTTCGCAAATGATCAGTGAATGCTTTGAGCTGCTGCTGCATGTCCTGAGTGGTTGCACGCCCGTCCGGAAGAACTCATGCAAGGCATGGACTTCAGAGTGCACCGCGGCAGGAACTGTCATGATACGATGAGTCAGCTGACCATCTTCAACCGCTACGAGCTGGGAGATAATGTGATCACGATCAACGACGGTGATTTTGCCATACTCCTCCCCGTCATCACATGGCGCAGCTCCTTTGCTGAATCCAAACAAATCATGGAGGTTTGGTTGCACTTGGAGAGATTGCGAGGCCGACTTCTTCGAAGCATCAGGACCAGTCGAGGTATAACCCGAATCACGGCGTTGGTTACCCACATGCTCGTGTCGGCAATGGTCACCATGTTGACACATGCCGGTATTCCGAAATGAGAAACATACCCCACGACCGGCAGGCACCCTTGCCTGGGGCACTGCCGCAGTACGAATGACGTTCTTACCCCCACCCCACCCCCGACCCCTGCCCCCAAACGAGAAGCAGAAACCGTCAAATTTGAGCAGTGGCTTAAACACAAGGCGCACTACGGGCGCCATCACGTTAAATGTCCCCCTGCTCGATCATGGTTTGGAGCATCCTCTATGACGAGCTTGTTGCACATACTGTTGTTGGATGGTGTTAGCACTTCTAGTGATGGCTTCTCGGGATCCGGGCTACAAGATGGCTGGACTTGCGCACAGGATTGGTTCCTTCGGTTTTCTGTTTTCGGGCGGAGCCAGCCGAACTCGTCTCGGTGACCGGTTTTGTGTGCTAATGTAACCATGATTGAAAAGTTTTGAGGTGCCCGATTTTTTGAGACTTCAGCGTTTTTCAGACCGTTGAATAACTTGCGAAAGCCCAGCGCTTTCGACCCTGCAGCAAATGTTTCATTCCTCACATCCGAATCATCACATATCATCACAGTTCACGGGCCAAAAGCTTTTGGTGCGTTTACACCCAGAAAAAGCGGCAGATAGGATTCAAATGGCCCGTTTCACCGGGTCAGCAGGCTGTGCAGCTGATCCGGTCGTTGAGCCAGTCAATCAGAACGTAGGTTCCATTTAATCAGGCTGAAGGAATATACAGTTCAGGTTCACGCGATCCAAGTGCCCCAAATTTGTAAGATTGACAGAGACTTTGGGTTCAGAATCCACGATCGTGTTAAGCAGCCGAAACAGCACATGGGCTTCGGAACTCTTTATTGCCACAATTGCGAGCTTCCTGTGTGGCTGATCTCGAGACAGCAATCGAGATTGTCAGCATCCTAAAGATGTGAACAGCAGGAAGATGCCAGCTGGTGCCCAGACCACTTTCTGCATCGGTCGTGCCCTCAGCTGGGCCTTCTTTCCGGGAGCATCGAGAATGTTGCAAAACAGGTACTCCTTGGCTTTTATGGACATGTCAAAGCGGCAGCACAAGGCAACTGCAAAACGACAGCATGTGAATGTGACATGACATGAGAATTGGCTGTCGCACCTCGAACTTCCCTGCAGTCGTGAGGTCTTCGAGCCTTTGGCCAAGAGCTTGAAGGAAGCTCTGAGGCAGCTCGGCCATGCGAAGAGGATTCATTCTGCCCAGATCATTCCGCCAGGTACGTAAGGGCCTCCCATGTGCCATTGCGCATACGATGTAGGAAAGAAGGGGCGTCGCGACGTCCATTGGATTCCATTGGACCTCTCCGAGCTGCAAGTTGCTGCTCTGTCGCCTTCACCGAGTTGCTCGGCTCGGAATCGAGAGACCGAGACCTTGAACGAGGACAAGGACTTTGAGCAGTGGGTGACAGACATGTCAGAGGAACCGCGGAATGGCTCGGAATGACGGGCTGGCTTGCGAAACAGGGCAAAGGTTCGCTTCAGCGAGATCATGTGTGGACGTGACGCCGTAGCACCTGGAGCTCCAGGCCGTGCCTTGCGATTTCGGGAAGCGCAGCACGACAACACTGGGTTGAACATTTCATGTGGGCATGACGAAAACAGCGCCGGTAGCAGACATAGATGAAGCTTCAGTAGCCGATGCGCAGGTCATGAAGGAGTCACATCTGCGTGAGCAAGGATAAGCGTTTCTTGTGCTTTTCGTTCGCTGCTCCGTGCGCTCGTGTTTTCAGCAGAGCCGAAGATGGCCGTCTCCCAAGCACGACCCACAAGAGCAACAGCACCACCTTGCAGATCGGTCCAAGAGAGCTTGGTAGTCGTAGCTGTTGAGTGAAGCGAAAGCACGTTCTTGCCATAGTCTCAGGAGCGTAAGCATGAGCCTCATGAGTCACTGAAAAACATCTTCTCTTCGGATTGCTACTAGTATGGGATTTCGAGCATGCCGGGGCCGCTGCACTTTGAGCTTCTTCTTGGCAGCTCTCTGGTTGAAGGCTTGGGAACGCAGACTGCAAGTTCTTGGGGGCCGTCTGTGCTGCACTGCAGGCCAGCCACTACAGCGGGACCTTTTCCCTGAATCCTGATTCGAGAAGGCTTTGCCATCCTAAGGGTGGATGAGGGTCATTCGAACAGTGTGCTTTTGCTGTTAATGTGCAGGCACATACAAAGTAGCAGCACAATGTGATGATACCACGGTTCATGGTTCGTGTTCTCGTTCAAGATTACAGGTTTTGGGTCTTTCGGATTTTTGGAAGTGGGCTTCTTGTTGGTGAGGGTTCGGTTTCCGACGATATTTTCTGACTTCAGCTGTCTGCGATTATCTGCGATTCGCCTCTTCATTGCCCGACTTCTTTTCCCAGCCGTTCCCCGCACTGTCCTCACTCTGCCGAATGCCCTTCTTGAAGAAGCGCACAGAAATTGTCGATTCGAGGCCAACTCAGAAGTTGACGTTGTACTCGTGCTTGTCTAAATCGTGCTGCGCTGCGCTCGATATTTTGCCTCACGATGCTCCTGCAATGTTGAATGGATGCGAGTGAAAGCACTGCGCTGCGGTCAAGACCATCCGGCAGCCAAAGCTCGTGGTGTGATGCTCTGCCTTGGTTAGAGATCCCTTACAGGGCCAGCTCGGAACGACGAGAGCTTCTGCGGAGGGTCGGGCTCTTGAGCGTCTGCTTCTCAGAGAAGAGACAGTGTGAAGATCTGCTCGCTGCCGACGCCGTCTGCCCAGGCCTTGTCCGGCGGCTCGGCCGGGGCGGCGCCTGCGAGGGCCTTGGCTCGCAACGTGGAGGAGAAGGCCGCCGCACAGGCGCGGGGATCCGCAGCGACGCGCGCCTCTCGCTTCGGGGTCCTCTTCGAGTTCTGGGGTCCCCGTCCCGTCCCAGCGCGGAGGTCTTTCGTCAAGCCACACCTGGCGTCGTCGCCGTGGCCCGGGGCTACCGGCAGGGAGAGCGACGCCGGAGCGGCGGGGCCGAAGATGGCTTGCCGCCATCTCTCGGCAGTGGCTTTGTGCCTTGCCTGCGACGTTTGAGAAGTTGCTGCATCTGATCGAAAAATGATACGCCGCGTTCAGGTCTGGGATACTTCGCATGTTGTGACGCTGCCTGGCTGTGACTGCAACATGTGGAATGCTTCGGACTCTCACTATGTTACATGTTGATGTAGAGCTGGATCCGAGGAACTATCATGTCGTGCGCGATCTGGCGCCTGGTGAATTGCAGATCGTTTTCATCGACCCTGTGAGCAGCAAGGATGAGACTGAGATGCCAAAGCGGGAGATCTTGAAGGGCGAGCTCGTTGGCTCCGACCCCTTCACGGACACTGCCGTCATCAAGATTGTTCCTCCCACGACGGGAACTATGACCGTCGGTATGCATCCACTCCCCACAGGGGAATCTTCCTCACTCGAAGTGGGCCAGACTGTCTTTGCCATTGGGAACCCTTTTGGCCTGGACCACAGCATGATTCTCGCCAGAACTGGAACTGTCTTGTGGGCTTGCTTGTCTACCTGTCATGTTTGCAATGGCCGAGGAGCCGCGGCATTATCTCTGGCAAGTCCAGGACTCTCGACATCGGCGAGAGGCGGGCTGCCGGCGTGCTGTGGATCTAGCATTGCAGGACTCGGGAAGTTTCGAATCAGGTTAACACGCTGCCATCGACACCTCCACAGTCAGCAAAACATCGGGTTACGACAGCACTGTCTCACATAGCCACGGCCATCCATCCATCCATCCATCCAGCCATCCATCCATCCATCCAGCACTACATAAACCCTTCTCTGCAAACCGCTCCATAAACCAATACGCTTACCAGAGAATGCAGAGACGCCGCATCCACCGTTGCCCTTTCGAGGCCAGCATGCCGCATGCGGCCCGTTTGTTGGAATGTACAACGGATGGTGCTTGGCAGAGAACGCACCGAAAGAATCTACAATCGCGGCCGGCATGCGACCCATGTCTGGTGGGGTTCAAAGAGTCCGCATTCCTTCCCCTCATAGGCGGGGTTCCTGCCTTTTCGACCGAGTATCGTCACAGCAACGCACTGCGTTGCCGGGAGACTCGCGCTGATCGCAGAAAACACCGAAAGGCTTGTCATGTCCGAGCTCCAAGCGGCCTGTGTATTGCAGTTTACAATGGATCGATCGCCCTTGACCGGATACGATGTGCGGCAGCAAAAACACAGTAAACTCGAGAATAATGTTATCAGACTATTTGGATCCAGCATCCAATGGATCAACTTTGCGCCGCCAACCTAAGACATCATCATCGTCATAATCGCATGAATATCAACACTTCGCGTTATCCCAACCACCTCCACGGAAGCAACGCTTTCGGGTGAAACAAATCAAACAAGAGAAGCAACTCGAGAGTTGAGATCGCTTCGCGGCCAGCATCTGCCAGCGCAGCGGCACAGAGTGCAGTCTGAGGCCCATCCAGGGTTGCATTCAGACAGATGCCTCCATCAATCCGGCGCGGGCCTAAAGCATGAATCCAAGTCGAGCTTGCTTTTGAAGTCGATGCATAGCTGCGTAGCTGATCTAGGACTTGAGCTGTGCTTTGCTGCGCGAATCGCTTCCAAAGCTTGGCGTTTCTCAGGGCAACTCCGGTGGTCCTTTGTTGGACGCTGGCGGCCGTGTCATCGGTGTGAACACCGCCATCTTGACAGCTAGTGGCACTTCCGCCGGGGTTGGCCTCGCGATCCCAGCCACTTGGGCGTAGAAAGTGAAGGTGAAGCTCTATGACACGCTATTGCACGTGTGCTCTCCGGGCCCTTTCCTTTTCCTAGGTGGACACAGTGAAGCGCAATGTGGAGCTGATCCTGAAGCAGGGATTCGTCTCTCGTGGCTTCCTTGGAATCACCTTCGCCCCGGACCCGATCGCCGATGCATTGCAAATTCCTGGTGTTATCGTGTATGGCATTGTGCGAAATAGCCCCGCGGAAGCGGCAGGAGCGACAGCAACACTCGCTGTCCACTTGCGTGCGTTCCCCACCATGGACAACTCCTGCAGTCCTGAAGGAGTTCGTCCGATGCTGAACGGAACCATCGGCGATGTGATTACATCGATGGATTCGAAGACTATTCGCACTGGTGCCGATGTCTTCCGTCTGTTGGACAAGAGGGCGTTGGCCCTGGCCTTTGCGTGCACGACTGGCCCAGAGATGCTGTCTCATCCGCTTTTCAGTCAGGTCCCCGGCGACATCGTGGCTTTGGGCCTGCAGAGGTTCGAGAGCCATAGCTGATTCAACTGTGATGGGGTTCGCTGCGCAGGGCCCGGAGGGATGTAGATGGAAATGCGATTGTGGACAAGCTGACGCTGAATGTTACGCTGAGTCCCTCCTTTGAAAAGCAACAGATTTTCCAACGTTAGCAGCGCCCTCACGACGGGACCAAGGTTCAACTCCGCGGAAGCTGTGAGACCTGAATGCCGCAGAACGAGCTGTGGAAGTTCGGGTGGTTGCTGACGTAGCTTAGGACGTAGGACCACTAGTCGGTCGCTGTGGCGAAAAACCCACGAGAGACCACGTGTCGTCAACGTCCTTGATGCCATCGAAATAGGCATAAACGAACGTCGCACTCTTTTGCTCAAGCATTCGTGTCCACAGCATCTCAGCAAGCAATGGGGTTTTGGAAGCAGCCTGAGCTCAGGCCACCACAAGGGCCTCTCTCATCCCGCATGCCCTCACTGATTCGCAAGCTATAGCTAGGTAGAGCAGGGCACCAGCACCACCGGCACGACATGTTCAAGAAAGGGTCAAATCCTGAGGAGCACAGTCACCGGAGGGTGATGTTATCCCATACTCTTAGTGAGGTACGTGGCACAGGGGCAGAACCTCTTATCCAAGAAGGAGCCGGCAGAAGTTTCGCCTTGCTGGTTGCGGACCGTTGCTTGATACTCGAGGATCTGAAAGCTTTAAAAGGCCAGCAGGGGAGCTGCCCTGCCAAAAGTTGCTTGAAGAGGCCTGGGCCTGCGCTTCTTTCGCGTGTCAGGACAGCTCACCGAGCTGTTCCCTAGCCTCGATGAGAAGATGCTGGATGAGATCTTGCCGGAGGGTCAAGCCAAGGCCCTGCCTCAAGAAGGGATGGTGCAGAGGCCCACGCTGTGCTTAAATCCTGCAGGTAGTGAAGTTGGATAACCGGTGCTTGCTGTATTCCTGCGGCGATGCGCCCCCGGCCTTCTTTGATTCAGAGGCTCGAGGTGAGCCTGCCCCTGAGTCGGAAAGTGACACGCGCCGAGAGTCGACTCCGAAGTGCCCCGCTCCCCCTCAGGTTCTACCCAACTCTGCACACGCTTTGGCAGTTCCCGTGCTCTCAGCTTGAATCTTTGTCCGCAGTTCGTGGACCCTTCGACTTTGACGGCAGGCACATCATGCAGGAGTTGACTATTCATCCGCCCGTGCAGACTTCTAAGATTCCAAGAGTAAGAGTTCAACACTGGATACCTGCGTGTCACTGGCATTCTGCGTGGGCGAGTTTGGATGTAGGTCGTGCGAGACTGCAGTCTGCACGTCAAGGTCGAAATTCGTTTTGAACGGTGCCGACCTGATGCTGCCTGGCGTTCTCGTGCCAAGCTCAGTGGGGTCTGCCGATTACACGATGCAGAGATGCAGCGAAGAAAAGATCGCTTTGTGCAGCCCTGCGTGCCTGACCATCTGAGGTGCCTGCAAACGGCGTCGCCGGATTCGGAACAGTCACGAAGGGCCAGAGAGAGCCTCAGCCTGGTGTGTGGCATGTGTGCATGCGGCCCTAATACAAGGCATTCTGAGTGATTCTAGGCTTCTCCTAGGCCACGGTGCATCAAGATTGATGGCAATCCTTATCCCATCGCTGTTGGGCGAATGGTGGTGAACCAAACCCAGATGGAGAAGCCGGGATCCTCAGAGAGACAAGCGGTGGCTTGAGAGCAGGGGTTGTGCCCGTCCGTGAGGCTGAAAGGCAAAGGCATGGAGGCCGCTGCCCCCTGCAGATCGGTTCCTCCTGATGCCCCGAGCTTTAGTGGGCAGGTGATGCACGTGTACAGAGACGCTTTGTGGGCGCAGTGTGGCAAGGCGTGGTGCATGGCATGGATGTGCGATCTTCCCGCAGTCCTGACAGCCAGGTGAAACCCAACGCAGGTTTCTCAGACGAGGAGGAGGCGGGCGGCTCTTCATGATTCGGCCCGCTTGTAGCTCCAAAGAGCCCGCAACTCTGTGGCAGGTAGCTCCATGTGCAGACAGCAATTGGAAGCCTGGCGCGGCGCAGGGATCTCAGCTCTCTGCTGTACTGCACATTCGCTCGCGCAAAGACAGCCATTTTGCGGCAGAGGGCGGCAGCTGTACAACAACGGATGCCACAGCGCATCCGCTTCCACCCTGAAGACAGATTAGTCGCTAAAAACGACAGCGTGTGATGTTAGAACAAATGCTTGGAATTAACTTGTGCTCAAGCGGTGCGCAGCAGTGCATGCCCACTTGGCCACTTGTTGGCAATCACGAGAATTGACAGTTTTTTTGTTTCTCCGGAGTATAATATTACACTTATTGGTGCAGTCGTACTACCTGACACAAGAGTTACTAGAGCTGAAGCCCTTGACACCCGATTGCGAATGGCACAGCTGGGAGGAAAGACTTTGCTTCAGAAAGCGGGGATAGAGCGAGACCCTCTTCTTTGCAAAAGGAAAACTGATGCCATCGCAGGCATGATGCTGCTTCATAACGAACAAGTAGTAACAGGTTCATGCACCAAGGGAAAATGGGCGTACACATAAGTTAACACAGAAAGCATGCTTTTCGCTGCGTATGTGAAACTCAAAAACTAAGCTCACGATTAACCAGGCAATATGTATTGTTGATGCTTTGGATGGAACCTGTTTAGAGAATGCGAGAATAAACACGGCAGGCTGTAAGTATATATCGAGTCAACAAATTGTTACTACTATTGCGTGCATGTATATGTGTATATTTATGTATGTAGAATCAATACGTAAATCAATATACTTTCGTATGTATGTGTATGTGTGTATATGTATATGTATATACATATATATATATATATATATATATATTATATCATATTATGTTATATTATATTATTCCCCACATCACTGTGAGGTACCGCCCCGCCCATCACCTTCCCGCGCCCAGTCCCGCGCCCCACCCACACACACACACACACAACACACACAGCCACACACACACACACACACACAGACATACAACACACACAACACACAGTCCACAACACAACACACACACAACACACACACAACACACACAACACACACAACACACACAACACACAACACACACAACACACACAACACACACAACACACACAACACACACAACACACACAGCACACACAGCACACACACACACACACAACACACACACACACACACAACACACAGAAGACACACACACACACACACACACTTGCAAACTCCATGGTGGGAGTAGCTAGAGCGATTTACATTCCTACACTGGTCATGCCAGGTTTTTGGCTTGGCCTGGTTGCCATCTCAATCGCAGGTACACCAAGCTGATCAGGCTTGGCTTCCCTCTCTGATGCATAGCTTCGTTGGGTACGGTAGCATCAGAGAGCCGTAACCCCCCCCGCGAGTTTTATTCCCTTTGCCATCAGGGTGTCACACACACAGTTACTTCCCAATTTTGGGAAGTAGTAACATGAAATGACGTTGAATTGCAGAAAAAAGAGCTATCAGCCGAGTTGGCGTTCTTGCTGGCCAACGTGTTGGCAACAATGCACGAATTATGACTCTCATGGAAAAGCACCACGCTTACGTTTTCGAGCAGTGTTGGAAATGGCTGCTTCATTGTGTGTCTCAGACGAGTAGGATGTCGGAGACGATTGGGGGCTTTGCATCCCCCTAGCATCCGCAGCAAGGCGATTCTGGATCCATTGTTGTGTAGCTGGAAACCATGTTTTCCACCAATGGGAAGAACCATCGGCTGCTACTGAGCTGGTCCAGTAGTATCGCCATGAAATCGTTGGGGAACGGGATCTGCTGCGATCAGCCATGGTGAAGTTCTCTGAGAGCCAAGACTAGGCGTCTCCAAGTGAGAAACAAAAGATGCATATGAAGCAATTCTGAGTGACAAAGTTTTTATTCACTTCGCCGTGCATTGTAGTGTCATGGTGCCTTGTTAATAGGCGAGATGACACGGAAAACCTTGATGTCTGAAATGAGAGTGGAGCTCACGCGGAAGCGATCCTCGCGATCATTGCACAACCAATCAAAGAGAATGCCTTTTTGCTGTGATTTCATCATCAGCTGGCGAAAATCAATGTACAAGGTCCCCTTATAGAGACATAAGGTGGATTGCAGAAAAATTTGATTAACTGCACCGTAGAAGGTGACATGTGGCATCGGTGCCGAGTTGTACACAACTGGCACGTACAGCACATTCGGCCAGCCAGGTGGTTGTGCTGGGCACTCGTTGTACAAAATGTTCACGAATGGAACCATAATTGAGATTGCTGACAGCGTTCGATGTGTCAGCGGGGAGCACATGACGAAAACGTTGGCGAATGCGATCAGAAATGATACGAGCCATACTATCAGGAAAAGGTTCATCAGATTCCGAAGAGTCTGCAGGCTCGAATTGATCACGTTCTTCTTCCGACCAAAAAGCTGGATTGAAGCAGAAGAAGAAGATGTGCTTTCGCGTGGACACGAAAGACACAACTCTCGTTACGATGGCCGGGTTCGCCATGATCTGCGACATGGCAGACATGTGGCCATGGGAGAGTATAGCTTAAGTATAAGCTGTATCAATTCAGCATGGAAACCGCTGTACAAGAACTGACTCGTTTTTCCGCCGGTGTAGAAGATCAAAAGTATTGACAGGCCCTATTTGGAGGCAGAATGGGAAACACCGTAGCCGAATTCGTCTGCGATGAGTTTCACCGGGCATAGGTGTGTACGTACATAATGACATGCGCACCGTAATCCGCTACGAACCATCATCTTGGCTACCCTGCGGCCTCTGTACACATTGGATGGTGCCGTCTCTGGGGGTGGTGCAGGCTTGCTATTGCAAATGACATCCATCACAAAATCGCCAGTTCGTATTGGCCTCGAGCTCTCCTTCTCGAGCTTTTTCTCAGCAGGATGTTTCACATCCGCTTTGTCTTTTGAATCCTCTTTGGACTTCTTTGATTTGTACTTCTTGCTTTTCTTGCGAGAAGTTTTGTCCTTTGGACTCTTCTTCCTCTCACGGGATGAACGGGCTTCTCCGGGAGGATCGAAGGCAGAATGCCACGAAGAAGCTGAAGAAACAGACGAAGGCGCAGCGGAAGTCATGCGATCTTGTTGTGTCAGCGGCCGATCCATCAAGGGCTTGAGCAGCTGCTGAGTATTTCAAACAAGAATGGTCAAGAAAACAACAAAAATCTGCATGCGTCGGTTTGCTGTTGATTTTCATCAGCATGTCGGCAGTGATGCAAAAGGATGAATTCGTGCATGAGGCTTGGCGGCTATCCGGACCATCCTCCCCAAGCTTCGGTATCCTGAATGCTTCGCTGGCTGATTCTGTCAGCAATCATCGGCATCATCGCCGGAGCAGGAAAATCAGCAGAGTCTTGATCTGCCACCACAATGATGAAATCGATGCGAGCAGCTGACTCTCTGATGGCCCATCTCTTATCCTTTGAGATTGAGTGCACGGCTGGGTGCAGCCGACACATGGAATTTTCAAGGATGGTGTTGGCGGATGGACTTTTTATAAATTGTCCACTTAAAAAACCGCCAAACACAATGCCGGAGGAATTCTTGGTGCTCCAATTGAGGTTAGCAGCCCATTCAATGAAATTTTCGGTCCACGAAGGGTTCGTGCGGCACCGACCGAAAAAAGACATGGACTCTTGATCCTCTCTGAGACCAAGGGTGTAAGCTGCTGTCCGGATTACTCGGCCAGCTGCTAATATTCCACAGGAGCCCGGTGCATCAGAGCAGTGGGCCCATGCCAGGCTTGATTGCCCCACAGGTTCAGGTCCAGGAAAAGACTGAACCTCAAAGAGGTACATCTTGCTGTTGCAGCCAGGCATTTGATAGCTTTTGGCCGTTGGCTTGAAATGATTGGCCAATGTAATCCTGGCAGAAATTAAAGCCTTTGCAAACGTACGGAAAATGCCGCTGTTCATGGATTGAGGCGGCGGAGCTTCTTGAAAGAGTGCTAGAAGCTCGAGGCAGACGCCATCAACATCACTGTTGGAGATGGACGACCAAGGCCGGCAGTACGCAACAGCAGCACGTTTCCGATCGCGAAGTTCTCGCATCTCGGTATGCTTAAAAATCAGCCAAGAGTCTGGAAAAAGATTGTTGCGGTAGTGCAACACAAATAGAACATATGCAAGAAAAGGTGTGAGAGGATCTTTGGACTCAAAGGTCTCATAGCTCTCAGCCATGCCACTTTGTTGAAGAAGCTCAGTTCCTGTGGCATGAAAGGCATCAATAAACGGCTGCTCCAGGTCCCGCGACTCTTGTTCAAAATTGGACGATTGAGCATTCGATTTTCGAAGCTCTTCATCCAACATCTCGTCCGCGGTTTTTTGAACAGGCGGGACAAAGTTAAAAGGTTTGCCAGGTTCCTCAGGTTTGCCTGGCTGTTTCCCTTGGGTACCTCTGGGCACCTTGGGTGGTGACTTAGGAGGGGTCACCGGAGCTTGCGAAGAATCCACTCGCCTTTTCCCCGGTTCTTTAACCTGAGGTGGTGCAGAGGCTTGTTTGGAAGCTTCTTGTTGCTTCCCAGGCTCTTGGCCCTGAAGAGCTGTTGTAGACTCTGGCGCCTTGGGGGCCCGAGAAGACTGCAAAATGGGTCGTCCCGCAGATGAAAGAAAACCGGGAGTTGGTACCCTGTGTTGTGGAGGCTGTGGTTGCCACTGCACCGGAGGCCGAGGTACCCATTGACCCGGTGGTGGTGGTGCATTTTCACCATACCAATTGCCGGGAGGAACGTCAGAGGCAGCCGATGCTGAGGTTGAGGAGCCCGGGCAGCAGGGGCCGATTTTGTGCTTGGAGGAGGCGTCTCTGACCGTGGAGGTGGAGGCTGTACATGATGAAGAGGAGACCCCCGAAAAAGGAGCTGCCTCAGCTGAAATGTTCCAGTCTCCGGGTGGTAAAGTTCCCGGTTTTGGGGACGAACGAACATCGCGTGGTCCCCTGACTGCAGCAGTCTGATCTTGGCCTGGTTCACGGCGATCTTGTCTGCTGCGGGATCGGTTGTGAGGATGGTGCCGGCGGGGTGAATCGCCCTCCGATCTCGCTCGAATTGCACGTTGCTGGGGCGGATTTGGAAGCGGATTATCTTCTCCCTGGTTAGGTAGCCCAGCGTAGAAATTGAAGACATACGACATGGCGGCCGAATCAAAAAGAAGAGCCGAGCTGTGGGATATTGAGGCTTTTCTTGGCTCAAGCAACCATGACAAAACCTCTGATGTGGCACAGTGCACTGTGTCGTGCAGCTGTTTACTCGGACGATCTCCTCTGTTCGAGGAACGATGCGCCGGCTTTGGCCAAAAGCTGAGGGTCATACCCGAAAGTTGTGTATGTCCGAATCAACGTCTGTGCATCAGCTTCGGCTTGCGAAATTGGAAAAGCTGTTCGGCTGGCCAGACAAATTCTGGCATAGGCCGCTGAAAGCTTATGGGCGTCAGTGCCTGCCGTGTTGAAAGGTCGAAACTGATGTCTGGCGGTCGGCTGCCGGTACTGAAGAGTGCGAGTTTTGGGATTTAAAGTGGTTCCCAGAAACTCTCCATCGAGTACCGCCTCTAATTCCACTGGATGTTCGTAAAAGAACGGAGAAAGGAATTGCTGGAAAAACCATCGTTGGGCTGTCTGTTCGGAACACAGCACCAACCTGTTGTCCACATAGCGAACTATGTAGACTTGTGATCGTAAGGCTTCCAAAGCCAGACGATTCGAAATAGACCACTGATGTTCTTTGTAAGAAACCGCGACATTGGCCAGAGATGGAGAAATCTGGTTGCCAATGGCAGATCCTCTTGTTTGTTTAAAATTAAAAATTCGTCCCATCTGCGAAAAGAAGGACGTCTGAAGTGAAAGCTGACAAATGGCGGACAAGTCTTTTAAATAGACTATGCCGGTTTTTGATCTCTGGCGCTTGTAGCTGCCTTGAAAAACTCGTAGTCGTGGTTCAGAAGCTCCGAGCTGTACAGTGAACTTGATAGTGTCAAAAGGCCTTGTTTGCATAGCAGCATATGAGTCGATCAAATGATCGACTGCTTCCATGATCTGCGTGGTGGGTAGACTTGTGAAGAAGCCCACGAGATCCTGATTGAACTCTTTGAGTTCAATGTCCTCCTCCGCAGTGGATCAAAACTGATGCAGGCTCCTGAAGATGTCAGATAGGGATTGATGGCCATAGCTGTGAGGAAAAACGACGGGCAGCAGAATGTTGAGAACACTGCTAGCTGCCTGGAAAAGACGTCCAAAAGCAAAATGCCGATAGGAAATAATTGGCCTGGCGACCAAGAACTGTTTCTTCTGCTTCAGAAGAAGATAAGAGCAGGGTAGCTTTGCTGTTTCCTGCACTCCCCAACTGTACCGTCGAAGCCAAGGCTTCTTGGCCAAGTTGCCAAGAAAAGCTCGAGCTTGGCTGGGCGTCAAAAGAGATGGCAAGTAGACGTTCTCATCCCCGAAGGTGCTGCGAAGTATTCGCCAGTAGAAAAGGGGGCAAAAAACATGCAAATGGTGGGGAGCATGGTCCCTACCTTGCACCACGAAGCCATCAATGACAGATTTGATGTACTTGACATCGTCGAAAGAAAGTGGTGTCTTGCTGTTGACGATGTGCTGCGACCATTGATCACAGACGAATTGTTCCCAGTCGGGAAAAATTACGTTGGGTACGAAGTGACGCTTTGCCCACCGTTGTACCTCCTTCCACGTGTCATTGAGATACGAGGTTCGAGCGGGGTACACCTGTGAATTGGCACTGGTGCCGAGTAGACAACGAAGTCGCCTTGAAACGGAAAAGTTTGTCCAGAGGCGAGGCGACGTGCCACTGTCCATCTTGAGGATGGACTACCCCAGCCACATCAGGGTGTCGACGTCGGAATTCAGCACATCGACAAACTGGCTGACAATCCCAGGAAAACTGAGCCATCATGGCATGGTGGTTCGTCAGCGTGGTGCCCAGCGAAGAATGGGCAGCAGAAACGACATGGCAGGGAGGCAAATGAAAAGGAATAAGGAAATCCTTAAATGGCATAATTCTCGTCTTCAGCCACTTCTTGGTGGCGTTCCGGAAATCAACGTGAGACAGAAAAGGAATCTTGATCGGGTGTGCTTTCGGGGGAGCGTGTCCGCCTTTAAACGTCAGCACTCGAGGCAAGATGCTTTGCGCCAGACTTTTGGGAGGTTCCTCCAGATTGTTCGACAGCCGAAAAAGTGCATAAATGTGTGTCAACGAGTAAGAGCAAGACCGTAGTCGTCGCTCTATGTTAAAAGAAGCGAGAGACCTTTCAGCCAGAATAGTTACTTGCAACAAAGCTTGCCGACTTGCAAGACTTATGTCAGGAGACGTCTGCCAAAATGGCTCTGCCATTTTGGCTCAAGATCATGGACCGTGGGTCCTTCATAATTTGAAACATTTGCTCCCGCTTTCTCTTTGCGACCGTCGATCCTGGCACTCACTCCCGTCGCCAATGTCGATGACGTCCTGGCCTCCAGCATGGAGACCGTTGAGAGTTTGGTGCCCCCTCGTGATTTCGCAGACAGTGATCAGGAATGGGAAAAGCCCGACGATGAAGTGGCTTTGGCTCGTGCTACCTTGGCACACAATGTCCATGCCCATGAGGATGAGTCGGCCAACTCGGCATTGGCCTCCTTCACGGCATTGGAGGTGGATGACACCAGCATGGACTTGCGGCTCCAGGAAATGCAAGCTGCCATGAAACGGCTGTTGGCCAAGGGCAGCGAGATGGTGGCGGTCAAGGAAGACAGCCCCTTGTCCAAGGATATGGACACCACGGGATCGGAGGTGCCAACCACAGGTGACTTTGTCCCTGAGGGTGCAGCTACTGATGACCCCATGGACAGGCCGGCGGTGCCAACCACAGGTGACTTTGTCCCTGAGGGTGCTGCTACTGATGACCCCATGGACAGGCCGGAGGTGCCAACCACAAGTGACTTTGTCCCTGAGGGCGGCGACACGGTGGACAAGGACGATGCCAACAAGCCCAGGCCCTACTCGGCTCTGCCCGCCGGCACCCTGGAGGAGAAGGTCTTCAGAATTGAGGGCTTCCCGGAAAACTTCCCCGGCATCGGCAAGAAGAGTGCAGACTGGGCCCAGCAATTGACAAAGGAGGAGATCGCCTCCTTGTTCTCCGAGCTCAAGTCGGAGCAGTGGAACCGCCCGGCTGTGGAACGAGTCCTTGAGGTGTACCAAATCTACAAGCGACAGCTGGCACAAGAGAAGATGCTGGCCGCCCCCTACAACCGTGCTCGCAGAGGGGTGGGGCACAGCAGCATGGGCCAGCTTGACCCGGGCAGCACGGGGGCTACCCTCATGTGCCCGAACTGCTTTACGGATTGGCAGCGGCAGGACAACAAGGTTGAGGGGAAGTGCAAGCTCTGCCAGAAGTCTGTCATCGCCGTGGACAAGGGCCCGCCCTCGGCAGAGATCAAGCTGGGCCAGTCCTCCTGGCGAATGTTCTGTGGCCCCCGGGGTGTCACATGGCACACGGATGCAGACGAGGCCCAGAAAGAAGCCGCCTCCGTGGACATTGGCTCTTGGGCCCAGCCGCCACCCAGGCCCACGGATCAGAAGGAGCTGAGCTTCGCCGACCAGGTGCCTATGGCCCTGAGGCTTAGCTTGGCTCACACGGTGGCAACACAGCCTTTCGACGACGCAGTTTGCCGACAAGGAGGCGGGGGACAGACCCCACCTCAGGGATGACTGGCAACCAAGCCAGGAGACAAGGGCTTTCCATCCCCAGCTGGCGGCGGCGATGGACGTCACCAAGAAGAGCTCGGGCCCGGTGGACAAGCAGCCCAAGAAGCCCACGGAGGAGGAGTTCTTGGATCACATCAACCTCCAGTTGGATGTGATCGTGGAGATGCAGGCGGGCGCACAGAGTGTCGAGGAGGCAAAGGGTGCGTCAATCCTCCGGCAGCTGGATACAGAGAAGCTTCGCTCCCTTCTTAAGCGAAATTACCTCCAGGGCCCTGGGAATCAGGGAGACGAGTTTGTCGCTGCGCAGACTAGCCTGGAAGAGGCCAAGGCCTCGAACAAGCGCATGCAGGATGAGGGATCCCAGCGCTCCCAGCTCCTCCGGCCGGTGGCGGACTCCATTGATACCTGGGGCACCCAGCTGCGCGCGGCCCTGGAGATGAACGTGTTCAACCCGGAGTGCCCGCTCAAGGATATGGAGCTTGATGACATCGAGGCCCTTAGGGAAAGGTACTTGAACACGAAGTTCCTGCTAAACCAGAGCAGGAATCCGTTCCCTGCCTCTCTTCTGCAAGAGCTTCCCACTTTGGCCGCTCTGCAGCGTGAGGGCGAGCGGGTCGCCCGGGACTCCGGCGAGGGGCTGTCTTCCACAGGCGCCTTTGGCCCTGAGGAGCAGTCCCCGGAGGCATTCTTGGGTGTTCCAGTGGGCTCGGTCGAGTTCCAGATGCTTCGCCTCAAACGTATCATCGAGCTGCACATGGGGGAGCAGCGCATGATCGGGGGCAGATGGAAGCAGCACCCGGGGCCCCTTGAGCCCCCTACGTGGGCAAAACCCCTGCCCGAAGGGGAGAAGATCATGCTGGAGATGAGGACACACCCCTGCTCCTTCAGGCAGCCCTTCTTCGAGCCGATTGCCCTCACCATGGAGGAGATTGAGGCACAGGTTGCAATGGGCACGAGGCCCCCCCTATCGGCCCGTTCCATGCTGAGGGGGACGGGAACACCCACTGGAGAAAGGAGGTGCAGACGTGGGACTTGGTGAGCCTCTTCTCCTGCTTCGGCCACACCTACTCGGCCAGGCACCTTTACGCCAACAAAACCTGCAGCGGCGAGACGACCACCGTGATTTGATGAAGGAGGCCAAGGAGTTTGTGATTCTGCACGACCTCCCGGTGCCCACGACAAACCAGGAGTGGAAGCAGCTCTACCGCGAAATCGGCTCCTTTTTCGCTGCCAAGGTCTTCGTCTTGGATCTCCCTGTTTCGGACATCCATGACTCCAAGCAGCACATGCGATTGAGAGCCGTATGTGACGAAAGGATCACCCTTCCTTTGAAGGCCTTCCGGCACTTCCCGGAGATCTACAACTTGCTCTCCAACTCGTTGCGTCAAGAGTCGGTGATGGAGGTCAAGATGGCGTGGCGCTGCAACACCGTGCAGTGGTGGACAGCCCGCCTCAAGCCGGAGTACGCCGGCCCCATCTACCGCAAGCTTGGCTACTCGGAGAGCCACATCAAAGGCCTCGGCTTGGGGGACAGGGACACCTCAGCTGCCTTTGGCGCTGAAAGGATTCCCCTGGACCCGGGGTCGGAGCAGGAGCGCTCCCTCCCGCCCATCACCCCGGACAATGTCACGAGCGTGGCCTCGGACGACTACAAGAAGAAGAACGTGGGGGACAAGACGGCCCACGTGTTCTGGGCCAAGATGGAGTGTGGCCTGGTCCTCAGCTCCGTCTCTCCGTGGGAGATTGTGGACAAGAAGAAGGGTGAGACCCGTGGCGGCTACGTTTGCCGCCACTGCAAGGGGTTTTGGCGCAGTGGCAGAGGTGCCAGCAGGTTCCTGCTGATCACGGGGGAGCACCGAGGGAAGTCCGCGCAGCTCCAGCTCATCCTGGACGAGCCCCCCCTGCACCTCTACGAGTCCTGGGTCAAGGACCGGATCGAGTTCTACAAGAGGGTGGAGCCCACGGCGGCCCCCCGTGATCGCTCCCTCCGCGTCAACCCGAGCCTCAGCTCCAGGCTCCGGTTCAGCAAGACGAACCTCATGGGCCAGGTTTCCAACATGATCTGGTCGGTGGTGCTCTCCAACCTGGAGCGGGATGGCCTCAAGAAGATCCACGAGCTTGCGGCATCCCGGGTCCGCCCGGCCTGAGCCCTGTTTTCTTTTGAACAAGGCATGTGGAGGGGGAACCCCTGCCAGGTGCCTATGGCCCTGAAGGGGGTCTCCTCTCCCTTCTGGTTGCTGTAGCTTTTCTTGAGGTCATGTGCCTTGGGCCCTGAGGGGGAACTGTCTTAAGTGCAAGTACCTACACTACTCAGGACTTGGGCCATGTCACAGGCCTTTTCTTCGGCAACAGGAATGCCCTTAAGGGGAGGGGGTGGGACCTCCATGCGCCTTTGGCCCTGATTGTTCCCCCCTTCCTCGAAAAGGGAAGGACTATTTGCCAGACCTTCCGGCCTACAGACCATCGCCCCGTGCGAAAACAAGTGCATTGGTTTTTCTCCCCTCTCTCTCTCTCACTCTTTCCTTTGGGAGGGCCCTTGTTAGGGCCCCTGACCCTCTCATCTCTGCTCTCTTTGAGCAAGGCATTGGCCCCCTTCAGTCTGATGGCGAGGTTCTTGCAGGAGTGTTACTAGACCCGATCATCAGGGGGTCGGGTCGCTCCTTTGAGGAGGAACAAGTTGATGTGACACGGCCCGGGGGGCAAGAAATTGTGGATTTCATGGCCCGTTGTAAGCCTACCCAGGAACTGGATCGCGTACTAGGTGTCCCTGATGGGCCGCCACGATCTGTGGTCCTTTCATACCGCCCTACACTGGTCTTCCAGCTTATTGTGGAAAGGGCTCTCTCTCTCTTCTCAGGCCCCACGGGGGAGGAGGATGCTCAGGGGATCCTCACCTCTCTCTGGGACCTTTGCACTAAGGTCGCTGCAGGCACTCCCTCTCACATGTTTACAGAGGTGGTCCAACGAAGGGCAGAACTAGACCGCCTTGAGTGGCGCGAACTACGAGAAGGGATCTTGGTTGCCCCCTGTACGGTGAGCCGGTGGCGCCACTGGAAACCGGGGAATGTCTCCGAACACCATTCTACCCTGGAACGTGGCCTGCGGGAGAAATGGGGGGAAAGGCTCCTCTCGTATCTCCTCCCGGCTGCTGGACAAATCCCGCAGGTCCCGCACATGGCGGCTATAATGCCCTCGGGCACCACTCTCATCTCTCTGGAGCTCAAAGGGGAGTTCATGGATCTCTTGGGAGATGCTAGATTCCGCACCCTCAGGATGCGATGCCTCTCCTATGAAGAGCTCAGGCGCCTTGGCTTCAAGGCCATACCATGGAAGGAACACGACGTTCGTGCCCTCCTCAACACTCTCCGTGATCAGGAGGTGTCTCCTCACAAACTTCAACAGGTGTGGGACACCCTCAAGTGGTTTGGTAAAAAATTTTGGGCTCCTTGCGGTTGACGAGGTCTTTCGGCTCACGGAGAAGAAGAAAGCCCTCTCGGAGTCCCTCGTTAGCACAGTGCACCGTCCGATGCGGAAAGCCCAGGTCCCCTCCAAGTCCTTTGTGGTTCAGGCGGAAGAGGTCGCGGCTCGCCCGCTTTCGAGCTCGGCCACAAGAATTGAGCTCATGGATGCCTTTATCTGTGGCATTGCAAGGTTCCAGCTCGGCTCCAGTGCCCGCTTCAGTGACCTTCAACATACTAGCCCGGATACCCTCAAGGTGACCTCCACAACCATTGAGTTTTCAGCATGGCAGACCAAGACCCACTCGGCGGTGGCGATTCATAAAAAGCCGGTCCCACTCATCTGCCCAAAGTACTCCTTCTCGGGCAAGGACTGGTGGACTCCTCTCCTCTCCACTTGGCGCAAGCTCTCGGCGACCCCCATGTTTGATGCCATGGACTACCTCATCCCGACCGTTGGCAAGGACTATGACGGTTTCATTGCCAGGCCCGCCACCTCGCAGCGCGCTCTGAATTGGCTGCGCTCGGCCATGTCCAGGCAGGAAATCGACAAGGCCCTGTGGGAGGGCCTCACCTGGCACTCCTTCCGGGTGTTCATGCCGGACTGCGCCTTCCAAGCACACGTCCCTCGCGACCAACGGCAGTATCTTGGAAACTGGATGGCGGAGAGTACTGCGGATGTCTACACCCGGGAGAAGAGGAACGTGGTCTGCGCCATCTGGGAAAAGGTCACCTCGAACCTGGATCAGATCGACACGGCGGGCACCCGCACTTCAGTCATTGATCTCTCTCGCGAGGAACCGCAGCACCTGCTGGAGATTCCTGCTGCGGGTGCGCTCCCAGTCTCAGGTGCCAGCGGCCCTGAAAAAGGGAGCCCTCCGCGTTCAGTGAGGGACTCATCCACTCCTTCTCGCCATGCAGACAGCCCGGCGTCGAGCTGGCTTATGACGCAGATCCCGGCGGACGAAGTGCCTCCGCCTCAAGGACCTCTCACCCCTGTGGCCACCAAGGTGGCCCGAGGCAACAAAAAGCGGATCCACCTCTTGAATCAGGACCTCCGGGCTGTGGGTTGCGGTTGGAGCCCTTCTATGGACAAGGTGGAGGCCCTTAACGCCATAGACTATCAGGGCGACGTGAACTCCTACAACCTGTGTGCGAGGTGCTTCCTTCAGTTCTCCTTGCCGGCAGAGTTTCGAGTGGGGGATGCTCCCCCCGCGGGAGATTCCAGCGAATCGGCCTCCTCAGGTAGCCTGACGGATGACTCTGTGGACACGGCTTCGGAAGCGGAAAAGGTCACCTACCAGGACCTGGACAGGGCTCTGGCCTCCAAAGGCCAGCCTTAGATGGACGACATCTTTCAGTTTTGGGGTTCTTTTGTGCCGCCCATCCTTCGGCTGTGGCTTCTTTCTGGACGGCACAAAATTTTGGAACTCTTTTCTGTACAAGGAGGGTTCCCGATCCACAGGTGCCGTAGGCCCTGAAGGAGGGGACCCTCCTATGTTTCGGAACGGCCTCATTCTTGTCTGAGGTCTTCGACCGAAGGAACATCCCGGGAGTCGGCAGCCACACCAATCCACCATGCAAAAGAGGGCTTGCGAGCATGGTCTTTTGGTGTGCCATTTTCATGCGGATATCTGACATTAGTTACTTGCAACAAAGCTTGCCGACTTGCAAGACTTATGTCAGGAGACGTCTGCCAAAATGGCTCTGCCATTTTGGCCCAAGATCGTGGACCGTGGGTCCTTCATAAATTTGAAACCCGCCCTCCCTTCCCCATGGCGGCTTTAGCCAAGCCTCCTGAAACCATCCCAGATGCCTATGCCGACGACATCGCAGGGCTGCACTCGTCTGTCTCCACCCTGTTGGCAAGAAAACAGATCCCCTACTCTGTCCAGGCAGCATTGGCCAAGGAGGGCTACATTACTCTGGAAGACATCGCCGACCGCTGGGACGATGCATCGGCCGCCAGAACCAATGGCCCCAAGGATCTAGGTTTTGCCAGCGGGACCAATGGTTTCACAGATCAAAGCAGCGCTTTCACTGCCATGCGTCTCTTTCAGGCAATCAAAGCGGCTAAGGAAATGACCAAGAACCTCTATGCACCTCGATCCAGTGTCACGCCTGGCCAGGCTTCTTCGGATCGATCAGGCCTCGAAGTGCTTTGTGACCGACACCAGCTCCTCACGGATTGGACTAAGGAAACGGGGCTCCCGAAGCCCAAACTTGAGGCCCAGGGAAGTGACAACCTTCTCAAGGCGCAGTTCCGCTTCTGCTCCAAAGGAGAACTCGGCTTCATCAATGCGAAATACATCATCAGCGCCTTGCCAGAGCTTGAAGAGAAGCCTTTTAAGACAAGGCGAAAAGTGACAGTAGACGGTTGGGACAAAGAAGAGGAGGAAGAGGAGCGGAGGCTCCCGACCACTCGGCGACATCTGGAAAGGATGCACCGCGTCTTCCGCAACAATCTTTCGATGTGTCTTCTTGCTTTCCCCCAGTTCTCGCAGTTCGATGCGTCTAAGCATGATCTTGATGATTGGTATGACTGGTTCTGGGGTCCGGACATTGCGGGGCGAACTCCAGCCCCGTCGGAGAAAACTCTCCTTTACGCTGAACGAAACGCGTGGAGAGCCATCCACAATCTGGTCTACGAGGGCAAATCGCTCAAAGAGGCCATGATGGAAGTTCGTGCTGATGCCCTCTTCTGGACAAGGGAAGTCTACGAGCGCGTGCCTCGGCCTGGGGAGAAGGGTCCGAAGGGCACTCCGAAGGGTGAGAAAGGCACTCCCTTCTCCAAAGCCCCGGGCAAGGGGTCCTGGAAAGGCAAGCAAGCCTGGTCGGCGTACCAGCCCGTGTATCAGCCCTTTCTTAAGCAGTCCACTAAGGGCAAAGAGGGTAAGAAGGGCACTCCCAAGGGCAAGGGCAAGGACTCCTGGCCCCAGAATTGGTCCAGGAATAATCCTAAGGGCACCCCCTTCTGCAGAGATTACCACATCAAGAAGCAGTGCCCCGGTAACTGTGGACGCTCCCACAACTGTCCGGTGAAAAAGACGGTTGGGTGTGCAATGCCCCTCCGAATGAGCACAGTCCGGACAACTGTCCCTACAAGTGAGGACTTCCAGTCCCAGGTGCCCGTGGCCCTGAACGAAGAGAAGTGTCGGAAGTGGAGACAGGAGTTGCCCTCTCCACACCAGGTGCCCTTGGCCCTGAAGGAGAACATGCACGGGACAGATCGCGATCTCCCCGTGGGAAGACCGCCCCCGCGCCAGGGGGGAACACCATTCATGTGGGCATGCAGCCCTCTGGTAGTGCTCCCTCGGATGACAAGCCCTTCCTTGGATTGAGGAACATTACCCGGGCTCTCTGCCTGCAAATTGTTCTCCTGAATGGCTTAATGGGGTCCCCGACCGCCTGGTCCGGAGACTCCAGTGGTCCCCCTCCGATTGCACTGCCAGCATTCCTCAGAGAGTTCTGGCCTTAGATTCCTCTAGGAAGCCCCCTGGTAAGGACCTCCTTAATAACTCCTTTGTGGGAGGATGCCCGGACCTCAACACCTGGGGTTTGGATAGATGGTTTCAGGACTCGGGTACTCTCCAGGCAGTTAGGTCCCGCTCGGCGGAGAACGCCTGGGGTATTGCCGCTCTCCCTGAGGCAACGCTCCACTCGGCGGATGAGGAGAGCACCCTGCTCCT